TGGGTGGTGCCCGAAGGCGTGGCACCGCGGATGCCGGGTTCCGCTTGCTGGCCCGAGACTCGGGCCGGGCCTGGGGGCTGAGCAGCCCGAGGTCGGGGCCTTACGCCGGTGCGGGCGCCCGCGGAGCTAGCCTTTCCCAGGCGGGAGGCCCCGCCCGCGCGCCGCCTTCTCGGGCTGGGAGAAGTTTTCCGAGGCCGGCGGGTCCGTAGGGGGCGCTGGAAAGTCTACGCTTTCACCTCTCTCACGAGGAGAGCCGCGGCCCGGGCGCCCCACCTTGGATTCAAGGGACAAGCCTGCCCCTAGACCCGGCCTGTAGGCAATGGGCACGAATTAAGCCCTGGGAACCCCGCACTCTGCAGCTTCCACAGCGGCATGAAAAGTAAGAGGGCCAAGAGGCCTTGGGGAGCGGGGTGGGGGTGGTGCTGAGAAGGGGCAAGTGGAAGGGTGTGTGGGAGACTGGATCCCCGATATTCAAGAATGCCTTGGAGTGAGGACCCACGGACCTGTCAGCACTGAAAAGGGCTTGAGAGACCTTTGGGATCAACTTCCTCATATTCCGTAGAAGGAAACAGCCTGAAGGTAAAGGCACTGTCCAGGGTCATTCAACTAGTTAATGTTAATAAAACATCACTTCTCATTTACCCAGCGTCCACTATGAACATTCCCCTAATCTCAATCATCACAACAATCCCATTTTACCAAAAAGGAAACTGAAGGGCACAGAGGTTCTGTGACCTGCAACAAGTTACATGCAAGTGGCAGAGCTGGTAGGGGGCCCGGGTCTGACTCCACTACACCAGTGTTGATGCAAGTGACAGATGAAAGGCTGGCATTATGAGAAGCTGTTTCTTGTTCAGAGCAAGTGACACTGTTACACTAGCAACACCAACAGAAACGGAGTAAATGGGTTGCTCTCCTTGAGATCTGGGGATCAAAAAGAGCTGGGTGCCCTATAGCTCTTCCTCTTTATTCTCACTTTGTATTTCGTAGGGAAACCCTCTGAGAGCCAGCAAGACCTGAATACTCACTGCTCCCAGTTTGAGCTTTGAAGCCTGCAGGGGAAGAAACGCAAGGGGAAAATGCCTGCTCTGCAAGGAGAGGCAGGGAATTCAGCCAGGTCACGTTCAGGAAACTAGGGCAGCCTCCCAGCTGGGCCTATCCTGGCTCCTGAGTGTGACTTGTCATTTGTCTTGAAATGAATGTGCCAAACATCAGACACACCCATATTTGAGTACATATTATAAGAAGCATGCTAAAGTTCACTATAAATGGGTTACAGGCTCTTAGAAACACCCCATTTCCCGTTCATTAGCAGATGGTAACAACCAGCTGCTTGGACTTAGCACATTTGCAAAGCCCCAGCAGGGTCTGGCCCTTGACTCAATGACTTATGGTTGCAAAAGGCAGGGTTATGTGGCTCCCTGAATGACAAATGGTAAAATTTGTCTTTAAAAAAGATCATAGGCCTTTTGGCTAAGATCAAGTGTAAAAAAGATCACAGAACAATAATGACTTCATCAATACTAAAAAACTGCTTACTTGAAGTTTCACTTTATGTTAATTAAAGATACACATGGGAGCATAAAGAAATGAGGAATATATTGGTCTGTAATCCAGAAGGTCTTGTCAGATTCCAGCTTTGCTTCACACTAGCCTAGTGTGACCTTGAGAAAGTCACCATTATGCTTCAGTCTTATCTCTAAATGGAGACTATAATTACCCAACCTCCTCAGCCCATTTTGATTCTAAAATCCTATTATTCAATGTTGGTGACTGTAAGAAATGTACAGATTAGAAGACCCAAAGTAAGTTCTATTTAAAGAATTTCTTCAAAGAAAAAACAAAAGACCTCAATTAAAACCGAAAGACTTTATTATTTACCTATAAGTATTTCTCTTCTTAGAGTCTTGAGTCGTGATCCATATTATATGTATTGTATATAGAACTAAAAATACTGGCATAATCACATCAGCCAGTTCATATTATTACATCAAATACGTGGCTGATACATGAAAAGTCAGTTTTAAAGGAATCCCATTCTAATGTTTTTGCTAATAATATTGCTGGCAATGGCCTAGGTTAAAAACCTGAGTTATTAAGATAGGATCCATTTCTTCTAACTCACCCCATGTTCTGTCTTCCTTCAATGCCGTCCTTACGTCACATCCCAACCTCTCATTTCCTGAGCCTGGAGCCAGAAATTAGGTCCCTAGCAGTGCAGGTGGCGTGTCTAAGACACACTGTACCTGGAGGTCAGTGTGTTCAACAACACATCCCTGGGCTTGGGCTGGGAGCTGTGGCGACTGTGTGACCAGACAGGCACAGCTCCTGATGTAAAAATAGTTATGAACTGAGCCAAATGTGTAGAGTGCTGTTAACAGATATGACAGGGTGGCTTGCAATCACATTGAGATTAGAGGGTGAAGGAGGGCCTCCCTGAGGAAGTGACGCTGACGCTGAATTCTGACAAATGAACAGACACACATATTCCAGTCAGCAGAAGTTTTGTTGCTCATATTATGGATAGAGAACATGAAAGCAAGGTAACTATCACAGTGACATTCCTGCTGCTTTTGGAGGTCATTCTTTGCTGTTTACAAAAGGCAGGCAAGGGAGATTTTTTAAAAGGTTATTCCTGCAAGCCTATATACAAACATAAGGCAGTTTCCTTTCAGTCCTTAAAAATTTAGGCTTAACTTGGAAACTGAGGATGAAAATTTACCTCAATATTTACAAATAGAGCAGCAAAATAAAAACCTGTCCTGAATGTAAATCCTCAGAAGTTTGACAAAGCGGCCCACTTACAGAGGTTCAAGTTAAGACATTTTCACTTCAGTAGTAACTTTCATCTAATTGATAAATTTTGATTAAGCTTTAAATCAACAGTAAAACACTACCATATTATTAATATGGTAGTTATTGTTTTGTGGAAGACTATATAACTTTTACTATTGTTTTATGTAAAAAGTTTATGATTACATGCTAAAATTTCAGACACAAACCCTAAAATTTAGTCAAAAAGGTTCTATTATATTAAGCAGATCATGTGTAAAAAGAAATCCAGCTGGAAGTTTCAGGAGACTGGTTAGATAGTAAGCCCATCTGGTGGGAGCAGCATAGTGGGATGTCCCAGCCCTGTGCCCCAGCTCTGGCTCTGCCACTCACTGTGTGCCCTTGGGCAATGGACTTCATCTGTTTGGGCTTGTGTTCTCATCTGTAAAATAGTCGTAATACTACTACTTACCTCACAGAAATGCCATGAAGATTAAGTAAAATAAGATGTGCTTCAAATGGGTTACAGGCGTGTCCTAGGAAGTGCTTCCCAACACATTCCAGCTGACAGTGGTTATGGGCTGAACTGTGTCCCCCATAAATTCAATGATGTCCTAACTCCAGTACCTCAGAATGTGACTGTATTTGGAGACAGGGCCTTTAAAGAATTAAGTTAAAATGTGGTCATTAGGGTGGGCTTTAATCCAACATGACTGGTATTCTTTTAAGATTCACACACACAGAGAGACCATGTGAGGACACAGGGAGGGATGGATGGCCAGGACACCTCAAAAGCAGCCAATCCTGCCAACACCTTGACCTTGGACTTTTAACCTCCAGAATTGTGAGAAATTTGTTTTTTTAAGTCACCCAGTCTATAGTATTTGTTATGGTTGCCCTAGGTAGCTAATACACCAGTCATGGCCAGGGATGACTGACTGGAGTCCTCTAATTGCAGAGTACTGGAGAAAGCCTACTTTTTGTGCACTATGACACGGAAGAAATTTGAAAAGCTCTAAGATAAGAGTTAGACCTAATGCAGCTGGCTTTGCTCCTGGCCTACAGTAAAGACTCTATATGTGGCAGAAATTATTATTCCAATTTATGAAAATCTAGTTGTAAGCATCTAAACTGAAAATCTCATATTCCTCAGCATTATTAAACTGGTTGCTCACAAAACTTACAACACGAGAAACAACTGCAGAAAATACAGAGTAGAGGTAGAAGAAGATGTTTTGAGAATAACTTATTTTGAGGGCAAGAGTTCAAGTCTTCCCAAGGATAGCCCTCTACTGAGAGAAAACCAGATTCACCTTTGAAGGTGACAAGGTCATTTCGGTAGTACAAAAACATAATATTCTACTATTTCTTAAAAAGTACAATTTGTATTTCTGTACTTAAGACAATTTAAAAAATTGTATAAGTTTTAGTAAAAATGAGTTATGAAACACTGAGCCAGTAATTTCTCAAAGACACAATATAAATGTATGTACGAGACATTTCCTTTGGATAGTCATTGAACTTTAAAATACTGGACTTTGCCCTGGACAGGTGGTTCAGTTGGTTGGAGTATTGTCTTGTACACCAAAATGTTAGAGGTTTGATTCCTGGTCAGGGTACATCCGGTAGGCAATTGATGGATGTTTCTCTTTCACATCAATGTTTTTTTCTCTCTCTCACTCCCTTCCCCTAGCTCTAAAATCAATAAAAACAAAACAAAAATGTGTTCTTGGGTGATTAAAAAAAAATTCTGGATTTTATTCAAAGGAGCAGAATGTATATTTAGGACACAAAAGAGGCTAGATTTATAAAGCTATCATTTTCTCATTTCCCTTTCACAGCTGGTGAAATAACCCAGAACTCTTGCAGAAGATATTTTTATGGCTGACACTGGCTCTCAAGCTACAAACAGGTTGGCCTGTGCTGTACAAGACGGAGCCACTAGCCACATGTGGCTACCGAGAACTCACAATGTGGCAAATGACCATGGAACTGAGATTTGAATTTTAATATATTCTAAAAATGGATACTCATCTATTATCTTTTGGTTAATCCTCACCTGAGGATATTTTTTCCATCACTTTTCGGGGGGTAGGGAGAGAAACACTGATGAGAGAGACACATCCATCAGTAGCCTCCTGCACTTGACCAGACCAGGGCCGGGGACTGTGCCTGTAACTGAGGGACGTTACTTGGCCAGAACTGAAACCGGACCCTTCAGTCTGAGGGCCAGAGCTCTGACTACTGAGCCAAATTGGCCAGGGTCTCATTTCAATTATTGAAAAAAAGGTACATCTGCAACTACTTGAATATATAGTTTCAACTGTAAATTGCATGAGCTCTAAATACAGATCAAGCATGTCCAATGAACATTAGCATCCAAAATGAGTGTAAGTATACAATACACACTAGATTTTGAAGACTTAATACACAAGAAAGGATGTAAAATACCTTATGAATCCATTTTTATTTTGATTACAGGTTGAAATGATACTATTTGGCAAATGTTGGATTAAATAAACTATTTTATTAAACTTAATTTCCTTTTTATTTTACTTATGGCTACTAGAAATGTAAAATTACACGTGATTCACATTAATTTCTCTTAGTGCAGAGGTAGACTGTCATATAGCTAATTAAACGTGACGTAAAAATAGTCATGTGACCATATTTCCTGAATAATTATCCAGCTATCTATAGCGTAGTTAAAAATTCATTTACTTAAATACTATTTATATCCTGGAGAAAACGTGGGCCAGTAGGCTTTGAAAAGCTGGGAAAGGCTATGCATTTTGAGAATAAGGTTTAAGAAAATAGTTTAAATGGCTAAGGCAAGAATCCGAAATATTTAAGGCATAACTGCTTTGCAAAAATTATACTTTTGCTTTAGTCAGGTCTGATTTAACATTACTTTGGTTGATACATATAAGAGAAATCATCTTGGAAATTTTGTGAATTATATGCAAAACATATTTTGGCAAATATGTTAGAAAAATGCTTTCATCTTCTCTTAAACCTGAACAATTCTCTATTACTTTAACTTCCAAACTTAATTTGATTCAGGTGGAAATCAAAGATGTTTAAAAGGAGAAAACAAGTAACTGATGTGATGATTGTTAATTTTCGGGTAGGTCCCTCCTACTCTCCACCAGCACTGTTTACACATGCACCAGCACCCACCTTCTTTTCTTAAAAATCCCCTACTAGTATACTGGACAGAAAGCAGTTAAAGTATTCAATAAAATAAAATGTGTTGGGCTGGAAAAACCTAACCCAAACATAATTTAATCTTTCGCAATTGTCTAAAATCATACAATAATTATAGACACATGCTGGCTACTAATTCTCCAAGGCTCAAAGATAGTAAGATTATGAGAAAATATTCACTTTTAAAAATAATGTGTCCATTTTACGGGATTTAACCTACTTTGCAATAAAAATAGCTTATAGGTTCCCATCTCCAGAAAGTTATCAGACATAATACACAATCAACATCTTTGGAGGCCAATTAGAATTCAGTATATTTAACACAAATTACAGTGAATAAAATTTTTATTCCAGGATAATTAAGAAAGCTCTAACTTCATGAAGATCAAATATCACTGCAGGTCGGGGAGTCTGACTTGACCTATGGAGGCAATTGTGTTGCTTGTGAGAAATAAGGAAGTGAAACCAGCCATTCTACCCAATTCAACATATGATTTCCTTTGTCCTAAAAAACAAAAACTGCAACTAGAAAGGTCAGCAAGACTGTAACCTATAGCTGTGAACATTTAGTAGTTACAGAAAAGTCTAAATCAATACCCAAAGTGAAAAATTACCCAAGTCTTTGAGATATAGTAGATGAAATGAAAACCCCTCAATAGTGAAATGCTAAATCCCTATCAGCACTATATATGGGACCTGATCCACACACCTTGCTGCCTGCATGGAAAACATCCATCAGCCAGCTACCACATCTCTGTAAGGATCTGTGAGTGAGCATTTCGGGAAGCCTGACTTCAAGTACACAATCCAGTTATAGTTGGCTTATGGAGAAGAGACCAGCAGAGCAGTCAAATGTTTCTAGATCAGCTCTGCTCCTGGCTCAGTGGTGTGGGCTGGGGCACATGGTGGCTGGGTGGAGGCGGAGCAGACTCCTGTGTCAGCTGCAGGTGCTGAGCTGGATGCGCAGCACTTGCTAAATGGAGCTCCCCTGTTTGCTCTTGATGGGCATGCAGATGCTCCAAGGTTTCCTTGGAAAGTGCGATTACGTGCACTGACTCGCTCTGTGAGGGTTCCATCTCGCTCTCAATCACGTTGAGGCTCTGAATGTGTTCTGTTTGCTCCTGTTGAGCTGAAAGAATTAAATTCTGCAGTTGTTCTGGCTGCTGTGTGAGCAACGTGAGATTAGCAGCTTGGTCTGCAGTCATGTTCTGGGAACTCTCTGCAGCGACGATGCTAATTCCTTGGCTAGGACCAGGCATGAAATTGAGGTTATGGACAGAATCGGTTACAAGAAGCTGTATTTCCTGCTCTCCGGAGGTAGAGAGTTGATATGGCTGCAGCTGAAGAATATTCCTGACTTCCTCAGTGTTGTTACTGCCAGAGACGCTGCTGGCATCTGCCACATGTTTCTCTTTGCTATGGATTTTCAAGTGAGCCTTCAAGTTGTCTAAGCGAGCAAACTGTAAGTTACACTCAGGGCAGGAGAAAGGCTTTTTGCCCGTGTGTAGAATGCAGTGTCTTCTCTTGGCACTGGAGTCAGAGAAGGATTTGCCACATATGCCACAGGAGTATGGCTTCTCTCCTCTATAAAGAAACACATGTCTTATATTAGAGACAGAAAGATCTATATATTACTTCCTATTATTGGAAGAAGCAGTCAAGAACAGAGGAAACCAGACTGGGAGTAATAGTCATGGATTCTCCTACTCACTTAGGGACTTGGAGCAACTCACAACTTCCATGGGCTTCAGTTTCTAATCTTATAAAAAAAGGTGGGGGTGGCGTCTGAGGAAGGGTGGTGGATGGGATTGGGCTAGATGTAAAAAAATTTTATGATTCCATAGTATTTATTTCAGATAAGTAAATATTTATATTTTACACATATAATTCCTTTTTGTTTTTAGTTCTCACAGCCAATTTTTTAATCTAATGGCCAAATAAGTATATACAAACTAATTTCAACATTATAAAATGAGTAGCCCCAGTTGTCTGTGATGCTGTTAGAAGGCCTCCTAAATCCAATCTAGTTTTGTGAAAACATTCATTCAGAAAACATTACATTTAATATTTATTTTGATTGAAGATTTAAGCTTTGGACCAACCCCCAGACCAAATCAAAATCCAAGAAATGAAATCAAGTGCAAACTTTTGCTGGCCAGCATCGGTTTTCCTGATTTTGCCTAAGTGAGGAATTTCTTCATTGAAAAGATTTTTTAAAATTATAAACTACACAGAAAATTCTACCGGAGTAATAATTTGGGGGAAAGGACTAGATAGGTAACATATGTCACCCTACTGAACACTAGGGTTGAATGAGGACTTCACACGAGAGAGATATCTGTATAACTTTACCGATGGATTCTGATGTGGGTCTGAAGGGAACTCTTTGCTGTGAAAGATTTGCCACAGATTTCACATGTAAATGGTTTCTCACCTAAAAAAAGAAAAGCATTTAGAAATATACATTCAACCTAAAACAAAAAGCAAAAATCACCCCATAGTTTCACAATATAATAAAGAACAAAGGCGATACCACTTGAATCCTCAATAAGCACGAATGCATTAAGCGCTTACCAAGTACCTATACTATGTGCTAGGTGCCAGGAGGATGCAGAAAAAGTGTAGGTGTGGGGTTCTTTCCCTTAAACTTAAAAACTGGAACAAGGAGGTGAGCGATTATCCACAGGAAACAAAGGAATGCACCACATTCACTCCTGTGTCGTCCACCCTTGGACAACTTAGACTCTCATACCTTACTGCTTGGTTAGGCAGCCCTCTTGACATTCTTAAGGACACCTGTCACTAGGGTGACTTTCGTATTATTTACATTTATAGCTACCTTCCAAGTGTACCCAGAATCCAACCACTTCTTACCATTTCTACTGTCACCTCTGGTCCAGGCCACTGGCATCTCTCTAGAAGCTTCCTCATGGGTCTCTCCCCACCACTTCTGTCCCTGCTTCCTTGTCTTAATGCAGTCAGATCATTTCACAATCCTGTACAAACACTCTAATGGTGACCATCCAGAGATAAAAGCCAAAGCCCTGGCCCTACAAGCTATCAGATCTGTCTGAGCACCTCCACTTCTAACCCCAAGCCTCCTTAACCTCATCCAGCACTCTCCTCTTGCTCATTGACTCATCCTCTCAGGCATCTTAGAGTCACTGAACTCATATCCCCTCGCCCTGGCATGTCTTCCCCAGGGGTCTCCTAGCATGAGTCACTCACCTTAAGTCTGCTCAAATGTCACTTTACCAGGAGGCTTCCTCACCACTGAAAGCACTGCCCCGCCCCCAACACTCCTAGTACACTTTCCTGAGTTAGTTTTCTCACAATGCTATCATGTTATTTATTATCTACCCCCATTCTTATGTAGGAGAATTTATGGGCCTATTCACTCCTAGCACCCCAGTGCCTAGAATCAGGCCTGGCACACTGTTCCAGAAATCCTCCTTGAGTGAACGAATCTCACAAGATGGTGACTAAGGTTCACACAAGATGTGACTGCTCGAGACCCCACTGAGAATCAGTAAAGCTTCACCGGAGTTTATTCAGCACAAGTTTGTACAGTGACAGACTGTCATACCCTTCAGAAATGACTGAGGCAGGTTTAATGAGATATGGATCAATCTATCAGCCCAGCATCTGGAATGTGAAACTTGTCAGGAAGTGTCAAAGGCGGGACTGAAGGAGTACAGAACATTTATGGCTAGGGTCCTACCAAACTGCTGCTAATCCTGAAAGAAATTATAACCTAAAATTACAATAGCAATTATGAGGAATGTCTCAATTAGATTAGATTATTTAAAAGTGCACTTAAAAGCAAGGGCTTCCAAATCAAATAAAGAAAATCAGATACCTATTTCTGATTGGTATGCAAGAGCCACCCTAAGGCTTCAAAATTTTTTTAAATCTTCATTAAAACATCTGCTGTAAAAGATTTAATAGGCTAATGAAAAATTAAAGCTATAACAGGTATCTAAAATAAAGGACTGTAAGACTGATGTTACCCCTTACAGGTGACTGTCCTTGGGTATCTTTCACTCCTTGGTCTAAGGCCAAGCTGAGGACCACTATTAGAGAATTCCTAAACTCAAGGAGGATCCTCAAAAGTTTTTGTAGGGCCCTGGCTGGTTTTGCGCAGTGGTTAGAGCATCAGCCTGTGGACTGAAGGGTTCCGGGTTCGATTTTGGCCAAGGGCATGCACCTCGGTTGCAGGCTCGATCCCTGGTCCCAGTTGGGGCATGTGAGAGAGACAACCAATTGATGTGTCTCTGTCACATTGATGTTGCTCTCTCTCACCCTTCCATTCTCTCTGAAAAGCAGTGGAAAAAATACCCTGCGGTGAAGATTAAAAAAAGGTTTTTGTAGGGTGGCGAACACAATACGATACACAGATAATGTGTTATAGAATTGTACACCAGAAACCTACATAATTTTATTAACCAATGTCACCCGAATAAATTCAATTTAAAAAAAAGTTTTTCTAAATAGATTATCTCTTGAGCCCAGTGAGACAATTTCACGTTGCCCCTTCCTTCCTTCCCAAATCCAGGCCAAATAGCTATTGATCCTTTCTCTCAGGGATAACTATCGCCTATGTCCTAAGAGCTGGGCTTGGCTTTCTGCCTGCCTGTGACATGCAGGCTGCCAGTTCTTTCATTTGGTTATCACAGGGAATGACTCTGGAAGGTAACCTTTGTACCCTCTTGATTCCATGGAATAGTTTAATGCTGCTAGAAATAGCTACCATGTGTCCGGAAACTAACTAAACTGCTGAGACATGACATTTGAAAGGATTTAATAACTACAATTAGAAATAAAACTCCGTACCCAGAGGGAAAAAAGCAACTCAGGGATGATGTAGTTGGATGGGTAGCTAACCTATGATGTCACTTAAGTTACAAGCCAGCTCTTTGGGAATTGAGAGCAATTGTCCTTATCTTACAAATCTCTGTAAAACCAGAAAGGCAGCTCTAGAGGCAGTTCAAAGCCCACCCATTTTTATCACCTTCAATTCCTCAGCTGGAAGAAAAAAACCACGGAATAAGAAGTTTCTTTTTTAAAATACAAATGACTATAGAAGCACCCATAGCTCAAATGTGGCCTACAGTCTCTGTAAGATTGTTTTCTACACAAATTTTAATTAAAAAAATCCTTTAGTTTATCTGAGTTGATAAACTTATTACAAGTCCCCTAGCTAAAAATTTAAAACAAAAGCCCAGGAAGTCTCTGTCCAAATCTGTCCATATGTTCACGTGTGTTGAGTAGTGTTTTCTATCTCCAGATAGTATTGCTAATTTGTAAAAAAGCTCTATTAAATGGCTTAAACAAAGAAGTGCTTACGTAAAAATTCTTAAAATATAATAAAAACTAACCCAAATGTATTTCAGGATCATGTGATCTGAGAAAATATTTCACATAAAAGCTAGTCTGAGTTTGGTTTGGTTAAAACTGACATGTCTTTAAGTTATCCGAATTCAATTTAAAACTTTACATGGTTTATAAAAAAAAAGGTTCATGTTATCTCTGTTACAAAATTTGTCAGCAGGAAACCTAGCCTGGGATAATAATTAACTTTGATGTCTCATAGTTTGCATGAGCAGTCTAAATATAATTTTTAAGGATTAATGAATTGAATAGATATAAGTAGAATAAGAGGTGTTTAAGTGAAACTTTTTCTTAATAATTACATTATAGTACACATACTTAAAAATAGTTTCCCACAATCCTTTGGTAACTTAACACCTTAGAGTTTTACTAAATTAAATAATGAAAATTTATTGAAGATCTAGGTCATTTCCAAATAAGATAAAAATATTGAAACATTAATTGTTAAATAAGGCTATCTACTTTTGACTTCTTATAACAAAAAATTAAAAGATAAATATGGAGCTATTAATGAATATGTTTTGCTTTGTTGAGGATGCATATATTTCTAAATATTATGAAATATATTTGTCAGTAAATTAGTATCTATGTTTTTAGAGGTTATGAAATATAGTCATAAATTTGTCAATCTAAAGAATGCTAATTGTTTACTTTTTAGCTGTCATTAAAAATTAAGGTTTCTGGTAATTAAACATTTTTTAAAAATTTTATCTTTCAATTACAATTTACATTCAATATTATTCTGTATTAATTTCAGGAGTATAGCATAGTGGTTAGAATCATATACTAAAGGTTAAGAATTCTAATAAATAAGGAAGGAAGGAATATGCACTTTCAGTAAAGGAAGGTATGTAGTATGGAAATGCAGTTTTGAAGAAATTAAAAGAAAATGGTTTGTCCTAAAATACGTTGTCTATTTCTGAATGAGACAAACTAGATTGGAAAAGGAAAGTTATAGAAGGTTTGTGAAAGGGAATTCTGAAGAAGAAAATTTTAAAAATGGTTAAGCTGAAAAAGGTCAGAATAAATTTAATTAAGTAAATGAGCTTTAATCTTGTAAGTAAGCTAATGCAAAATTACAAGTTTGGAGAGCTCTCTCATCCTCTCTCCCTCTCCCCTCACCACCCTCTCTCTTAAGACACCTTGCTGACCCATCATATATTTCTGTGTCCCAGCGCTGCTGACTGGTCATGAGATAACTCATAGACACGAATTTAAGTAATTCACTTACATTAATTTAAGTAATTTTAAACACCTTGCTGACCAAAGTAGCCAGCCGTACGGGTGAGTTCTGGCTTGAAACAGCAGGTCAGCAAAGTTAAAAGGAGAAAGTACTACTTACTGGTCAGCTCCCAACAACATACTGTGAAAAGTATTCTGCCTAGAAAGCAAAGATTCTGTGTTTTATCAAAATAATTTTCTGTTTTATGTCATCTTAATCAGGACTTTGATTGCTTAAGAAAACGGAATCTTTCCAATATTAAGAGCTACCTTCTCTCTCTTTTTTTAATCCTCACTTGAGGATAATTTTTCCATTGCTGCTCTTATGTAAATAACTGGCCAAGTTTATCGAAACTAGACTTATTTTACAAACAAATCAGTGTTAACTTGGCTATCTGGTAAAAATGGGGGTGACTTGAAAGAGAAAGATTGTTTCGGTAACATACCTTTGTGGAAATTAAATTTTGTTGTCATTTGAGGTTCTGTTCCCACCTGTAAATTGAACTGGGTCCTAGATTCCAGTTTTGTCTAATATCTGGCTATGACCCTCCAAACTAACATTTCCCATTTTTTCTCCCACTCTTCTAACTTGGAATCATTAAGAACTAAAACTGCCTTTCCCCCAAACCCATGTAAGCTAAAGTGGGACAACTGGACATGAACTTCAGAGAAATCACCACAACAGTTCATATACGGGCAATGTCTGTGACTGTTACAGAAAGACTATCGGAGACATTCCAACTGCAGACCAGAAAACCTATCAGTGTCACTGCCTGCCTCCGCTCTGTCTGTAAATGCTTCAAACTACACACCTAAAAATCT